TACTACATTATTATAATTGACAATGGGGACAGAGCAACATCAAAAATAAAGAGAAAATAGATGAACATCTTGTTAAACAATTTGTTTTCACAGAGAAATTATTCGTCAACGTCCTAAGTATCTGGAACAGGTCTTTTTAGAGCCTGACTAGTTTACAAATATAGGTAATAATGGATAATAGGCTTTCTTAAAAGCCTAGATTATCCTAGATATATGGTAAATACAAATGATCTTAGATGTCACAGTTTGGAAAGCTCATGCTAGTCGAATGTGTGTGTTAAGACGCATTGCAGTTCTATATCTGTTTTTATTATCTACCAAAGTATGTGTAATGACCACCTACATCGTCTATTCCTTCATCTTTGAGTTTCTTTCTATATTAATAACTCGTTCTTTTCAGTCTAATTGAATTATTCTAATTGTCTAATTGAATATGTATATATATATATATATATATACATATATATATATATATACATATATATATATATATACATATATATATATATATATATATATATATATATATATATATATATATATATTTTATATAAAACCTAGAGCTTAGATTATTATTATTACTAAAATTAATATCAAACTCACCAGTTTTCCGGGTTGAACCGCGTCGATATCCATTTTGCCGAGCTTTCGGCATCCTCTCTGATGCCTTCCTCAGGGCTTCCCAGACACTACTACACTGTTTACTGATCACTGCGCTGTCACTACTGGTACTCAGTAGTGACAGCGCAGTGATCAGTGAACAGTGTAGTAGTGTCTGGGGGCTCGGGAGACTGATACCTCGGAAGCCCTGAGGAAGGCATCAGAGAGAATGCTAAAAGCTCGGCAAAATGGATATCGACGCGGTTCAACCCGGAAGACTAGTAAGTTTGATATTAATTTTAATAATAATATTAATCTTAGCTCTAAGTTTGATTGTACTAACCGCGGAAATCTTTCCGAAACATATTTTTATATATATATTAGGGTGGGCCGTTGAGTAATGTGTTTTTATTTTATTTTTTTTAATTGAGTTGCCTGACCCCAGAAAAAATGTATGATAAGATAACTTATTTCACAGTGTTTTTTTTTATAATTAATTTAATTTTTTTCCACTGCCACAGAGCTATATCAGAACGAGATTTTTACGAAAAAATTCAATCATTTAATATTATGTCAAATTCTTTTTTTTTTTTAATTTATTATGGTTGCCTGAGTCAAAAAAAGTATTTTATACGATAAATTTGATCATATTATTTTTTTTGACAACTAATTTTTTTTTCTACTGCCACAGCGCTGTATAAAATTAATAATTTTTCAAAAAAAAATGTATTGTATGGTAGATTTATTTTTTGCATAGAAAAAAATAATTTATATTAAAGCTAAATTTGTTTTGAAAACATAATACAACAATACAAATACAAAAATAGTTTATCTATAAATATATAACGATACAAAACAGAATGTCTTTCAAAAGTAACAATCACATTATTTAAAAAAAAAGTCTTTCTTTAATTCATATTTCGGCTTATTTTCCCTTGATTTCAGCCTGTTCCTTATATAACTGTCACCTCGGGGTAAATGGAAAGGGTAACCTTCTGTACCACCGTGTGCTCTGTAGAGGGCTTCGGAAACGTCGACGAAAGCCCCTCTACTTGAATCAATTTGCGGGGTATGGATTCGTAAAAGGTTTTCTTCTGATGAGCTCGTCTTGAAAAAGACGAGCTATTTCTTACATGACTTATAAGTCGAAATAAACATCAGGATGCAGTCTATCTTGCCTTGACAAAGGCAAGATATTTCTTACACGACTAAATAGTCGAAATAAAACACTAAGTTTAAAGTTGAATAAAAATCTCAGCCACAGAGTATAGGAAAGCTAAAAACAAGAAAAGCAGAGCCCGAGAGCACCAAGCTCTCGGAGAGCCCGTGAAGGACTGACCTGATTGACCTGAAAATCGCCTATTTTTATACTTTCTAAAGTAGCGATTAGGGATTTCCAGGTCAGGGAGGGGCCAACGGGAAAAATAGGGGGCGTGGCGATGCGTCTCGAACGTGAACTAGTCGCGTCCGAGAACATAACCGTCTCCTTTTTCACTTCCACAGACAGAAGCTGAACCTTCTGTTACTATTTTGATGGCCCTCTCAGCCGCTTGTGTGTGACAAGGGTATGATTTTACGTATGCTAAAAGACTGGTTTCAGGATTTTCAACAACTTCCCTTAGTTGGTCTTTTGATAGCTTCATAGTTATAGGAGGCTCTGTCCATAAAACTTTCTGGCATTCGATAATCTCAAAGTAATCCTTACTGCCAAAAAATAATTTTGGTACTACGAAATGTCGCTGATCATTGTAATTTAACTGTCTGCTCTTCAAAATTCTTTGGAGCCCCAATTGTCTTATGTGTTTACGTTTATCAAACAACATAGCCAAAATAATATTTTCTGGGCTCCCAAAGTATCCATTTCTTTGAATACATTTATAGACTATGTCTTTCAATTCTGGTAGTAAATAGTCGCAGAGTCTTATTGTCTTGAATAGATGCCTTGCACCATAAATGCATGACGGGTGAGTCTTAATATAAAATCACATGGGCGCATACACTTTCATTACAAAATAGCTTAGTATTTGTAAATTTTCCGATGGGTTTCTGGTTGCTACGTATAACCGAAGGATACGGGAAGCAGTGGTAAGCCACCGAGAATGAACCATTTTTCCAGGCTGTCTCTTAGAAAGTTTTTCTGAACAAGCACCACTTTTCACTGCTTGACAAATATCGTACAGGTATTTTACTCAACTGTCGGTAAAACACTAAAAATAATTTAAGTATCGCTAGGCGGTTTAATTGATTGAAATATTGGTTTACACTTACACCACTGCAAAATCTGCAGCATAAGCGAAGCGTTGACCTCCAATGTCACGTTATTTTAAGAATGATAATATATTATAATCGGTAATATTAACTTTGTTTATACTAACGTCTACTTTATTGTTATTGGGGAATTTCGGCACACTCTTTGAAGTAGGTCCCTAAACTAAATTTTTCTCTACTTATTAGTTAGTGGAAAAATACGCAAATAAAGTTTACTATACGTTATAAAGTATGCATCAAACCGCCAGAACAATACAGATTTTATTTAAATTTTTTTAAGTTACAAAATAAATAACCCTGATGTTTCAAAAATTATATAATAAAAAAAATATAAAGATCTGCGTTTGAAATAATTATTATTTTTTATTTTTTCCACTGCCACAATGACCTTTTATATTAAAAAAATATAGAGTCTTTGTATCAGTGGAAAAAAAATATTTTTAGCTACTCATTTTGGACTTAAAATTTGTGTTTTAGTATAACTCAACTTTTTTGACCACAGGCGTTGTTATTTTCCAGAAAAAATTTTGTCGGCCCACCCTAATATATATATATATATTATATATATATATATATATATATATATATATTATATATATATATATATATATATATATATATATTACAAAATACCAAACAAAGTCAGCATTTCAGAAAAAGAAGTAGAAACAAAATCAGAAAATTAGGTCATGTGTTACCTTTACCTCTTAACTAGTGAAGTCTACTAAGCGTGAGACCCGCTTGTTTCCATTTTGCGAATACATGTGTTTCTCTTACGTTAAGCCATGGTAAAATATATACCTAGGTACTTAAGATATTTGATATGATAATTTTTTTTTGAATTGATGGAGGCTGCAATGGTGTATTGTTGCTTGCTCCTGAGGGTGGTTGATTTGGATCTTTTACTTCGATAGTAAGTAGTTCTTTATAGTGTCCCACCCACCTTTTCAGTACTTCTTCTTTTGCATTGAGTATATGCCCCTCCTTATTCTTACATAGTCCGATCCTTGGTTTAAATTCTTTTCTTGTATTATTTAGTTTTTAATGCCTCAAGTTCTTTCAATGTTCTATTTTCATAAGTTTGTTTTTTTCTCTGATAGATGTACTTCTCTTCTCTTCTGAGATCCTTATAATTTTGTTCTTTTTCTCGTATTCTTCTTTGCTGCATCAGTTTATATGCATTGTTCTTTCTTCTTGCAATGTCCTCGCACTCAGTATCGAACCACTCATTGCGTGGTGGTCTTTGCGGCCCTAGAATGTTAGTTGCTGCGTCTTTGTAATTGTTAGATTCTCTTTACTTATGTATTTAGTTTCGAAAAGGTTTGGCTTTAAACGTTTCGGTAAAGTTTTTGCGATAAACTTTCTACCATTTGCGGATTTTTGAGTTCAATATTAAGGCGCCTTTTTTTGGTACTTCTCTCCTTCTTCGCATTTGAGATTCTATCCCGAATTCTTGTGCCAACTATAAAATGATCTAAATCAATATGGGCGCCTCGATAGGTCCGGACATCCTCCATAAGGTTGGAGAAGTGTCTAGCATCTATGATCACATGATCAATTTGGTTGTTCGTTAATCCATCAGGCGAGGCCCAAGTCTGCATATGTATTTTTTTGTGTAGAAAACATGTGCTTCCTACGATCATGTTCTTTCAGGCTGCGAAGGTGACTGCTCGGTATCTATTCGAATTAGTATTATAATGGAGACTATATTTACCAATGTGTGGTAGATATATTTCTTCCCTTCCGATTTTTGCGTTCAGATCACCGATTTGAAGGAAATATAGTTAATATGAATTTAATTATTATTAATTTTACTACTCGTGATCTACTCGTAGTAGATCATTGTTTGTTTAATTCGCCACAGGTACGTTCCAAATATTCTTTACTGTCACCTCTTTATAACCGTCACCACTTTTTTTATGTTATACACTAGTCAGAATATGGGCCAGTATTTTTGGTCTTGCTTTCACACTTTAACATTGCACTGTAACACTGTAATTTTTCGATAATTGCACTCGGCTTATGCTTTTTTGGCACGTGAAAGGAGTTTTCAAATTAATAATACAACGAAAAAACTAGATATGTGTATCTGTATTGTGTGCATTTTCAGAAATTATATATAAAGTGTTAAATTAAATACAGTCTAATAATATTAAAGTCACTGAAAAAACCATTAACCATAAAACATTTGAAGGAATATTATTTGTACAGATTCCAAAATTTGTAGATTTTTCTAAACCTAAAAAAGAAAGATTACAGTTATTTAATATTATGAAATATAAAATATATGATCTTAAAAAAAACTACCATATTGTCTATTCGCTTAGCTAGGGCATATTTTGACAGACTCATTGTAGGAAACCTACAACACAACAATTCCTACTTCTCAGTATAAATAGCTCAAGTATACTACTATTGCAGACTTCTTTCTTTGAAAAAAAAGAAGAATTATTCTAAATAGTGGAAGTGTATACTAAACCCATCAAATTTTCATGTATATTTAAAATATAATATTTGAATTGTTACAATTTAAAATATTGTAGTAAATATTTGTATTATTCGCGTTGTTTATTTAATTTAATATAGTTTTATTGTTTTATTATCTTTGTTTAATTCTTTTGTTAGTTCTATTCAGTTAATTAGTTAGTTATATTTTAAATTTTATTATTATGAATAGTCAAAGTTTTCCATTTGTTCCATCAGCTAATGTGTTGGTAAGTTTTTCTTAATAAATATGATAAAATGTTTTTTAAAAAGTTAATATTTTTAGATTAGTAAGGATGCTGTTCCTAGATTACAAGGTAATAAAATTGCACAAAGGTTTATTCAAAATGCCTACTATTTTTTTTACCGAATGAAAACCCTGTTGAAGTAAGTTGATCATTAAAATGTATTTATCGAATTATGTAAATGTTGTAAATACATAAGGAACTTGCTGTGTCTTATTCTTATTTAACCTCACTTTGACTTCTTAATTTTGTAGAATTTATTCCCACTTTTTTATTTTGTACAATAAATAATTTTATTATTTGTTATCAATACATTATACGGTGTAAATAAATAAATATTGATTGTCGGCAAAGTTCTATTTTATTTACTTTTGTTTACATTAATATTGACTAAGAGCACGTATGCTTGGTTGTATAGTATTTTCCAGCCACTTCGAGTCTGTCAAAAAGTAACTAACTTCGAAAAAAAAATAATTACTAAAATCACTAGACAGTTCGGACTGGGAATAGCGAACCGGGTATACCTACTAAAAACAATTACAATTTTACCACATATCATGGTGGTATATGTCTAGCAAAGGGACTTTAAAGTAAACAAGCACACTGTGGCAATTAACAATTCTTATAAATAACAAATGAAAAAATAAAGTATCGAAGTGTACTTGCAAAAAAAATAAAATAAAAGTAACAGAACAAACCATATCTTAATTGTTTGAGATTTAAACATCCGTGTAGGAAACTACCGACACGAAGTAACTAAAATCTTTGGTGAGAAATAATAAAATAAGAATGGAGAAGAAATAAAACAATTCGAAACCTTTAACAATCTAAAACTGACGAATACCTTTTTCCGCAAAAAAAGATATTTATAAATATACTTTGAACGCAAGAGATATGGTCTATCATAGATTATACAATATTGCCAAAAAAAAAACGGTACTGAAACTGAAACATAGATGTCTCTTTGTGCGCGCTCTCATATTCAAATTAACTAGTATAGACCTGTCAAGTAATCCTTAAACAATTAATTATTAACGCCTAATTGTTAAAAAATGGTGTTAAGAGGAGAAAGTGTTTCTTGTGGAACATTATTTTCGCTCATACGAAATCGGCCGACGTAATAGTGCAAGTATGCAATACGTTTTTGATCAATTCACACAACGGTTTAATAAACGTTCTCCAAGTAATGCTGTCACTTTGAAGGTTGTTAAAAAGTTAAGAAATACATGTAATGTATGATGGCAACGAAAAGGAAACTCATGGCGTCCCAGGACAGTTAACAATTTGGTTTTCAGACAACAAAAATGTATGGTTTTCAGACGAAGCACATTTACATTTGTCAGGTCATGTAATTCGTCGCACAAATCGATTTCTGGGCTTTGCCAGACCAGATGAAGTTCAAGAAGTTCCTTTACATAGCGCAAAAGTGAGTGTCTGGTGTACAGTTTCAGGACACGGAATCATTGGTCCATACTTTATCGAAGAAAATGGTAGGCAAGTCACATTTAATCAACAGAGGTACATACAAATTTTAACATGGTTTATCCCCGAACTACGTCAATTTTGTCGTGCACGTAATTTGGCATTTCGAGACCAATTTTTCCAGAAAGATGGGGCAAGTTGCCATACTGCTTTTGCAGTTCGTGAATTTCTTCAGGAACATTTTCCAAACAAATTCATTTCATGATTTACTGACTTCTCCTATCCTGCACATTTTCCACACTTAACATCTCCAGAAGAATACATTTGAGGCATGGCTAAAGGTGCCGTTTTTAAACGGGCACCACAAACGATTAATGAGTTAAAGGATGCCGTTAGAGCCTTTTTCGCGGACTTGAGACAACCTTTATTCCATAACATTACGAGAAATCTGGAATATCGGTATATAGTCTGTCTTGAGAGAGGAGGAACTCGTTTAGAACATAAAGTTTCAATAATATGTATTTTTTTCTTCTTCCTACTTTATAAATAGGCTTAATGCCTGTTTTACTTCGGTTTTTAGCCTCCATTGACGTTGTCTGACAATCTTTTCCTCGGTCGTCCCAATGATCTTCTTCCATTTGGCGATTTGTCTCTTGCTATTCGTACTATTCTATTTTCTTTAATTCTTTTGATGTGTTGATTCCATTCCACTTTTCTTCTTTTGGGCCACGCGTTTATTTCCTCTATACTACATCTCGCTCGTATTTTCTCACTTCTTACTCTGTCTCTTAGAATTTCATCATCATTGGCTTTTACAACTCTTCGTGAGTTTTTGCCGCGTTTACTATTGCCTTCCATTGATTCCGATCCTGTGCTATTATTTCCCATGGCCTTACTTCCATCTTCTCCAGGTCTTCCCTGACCGCGTCTTTCCACCTTTTTCTAGGCCTTCCTGTCGATCTTTTACCATCTGGTCTTTCCCAAAACACATTACTAATCAGTCTGTCGTCATCACTCCGTACCACGTGGCCTGCCCATCTTAATCTATTGGCTTTTATGTATCTTACGATGTTTCCTTTCCCGAAGAGAGTCTCTATTTCATTGTTGTATCTGCTCCTCCATTCATTTGTCACGCTGTCCCTGCAAGGACCATATATAATTCGCAGAATTTTGCGTTCCCATACTAATAGCTTATTGATTTCTTTCTTTCTCAATGTCCATGTTTCACTTCCATATGGCTTGTTATTTTTCATAAGACTTTCCTTTCTGTTGTTTCCAGCAGTCTTTGTGTTTTCGCCGTATCTGCTCTTGTTTCCGCTGTGTATGTCATTATCGGTCTTATTGTTGATTTATATATCCTGGTTTTAGTTTCCGTTGTAAGGTATTTGCTTCTCTAGATTGTGTTGTTGAAATATCCTGCTGCTCTGTTTGCCATGTTCACTTGTTTTTGTACTTCTTCCACTTTTCTGTAGCTTGACAGTTTTATTCCTAAGTATTCAGTTTCCATCACTTGTTCTATTATTTTGTTATTTACGACTAGTTTACATCGTCTCGGTTCCGCTGATATCACTATCGCTTTAGATTTCTCTGTTGAGATCACCATGTTGTATATGAGCGCCGTATCTTCAAATTCTTTAATTAATCTTTGTAGGTCATCTTCATTTTCGGCTGTTATTATGACGTCGTCGGCGTAGCATATTATCCTTATTTCCTTTTCTCCCATTCTATATCCTCTTCTTTTTATAACTTTCTTTATGGTTTCATCCATTATCAGATTAAATATTAATGGGCTCAGCGAATCTCCTTGTCTAATGCCATTTTCATATTTGATAAGTAATAGAAGTATCGGATGACCACGCAAAAGATAAAGTGACAACCTTACATAGAGGTATTAATCTGCCAATAAATAAACATAATTGCTTTTAAAGGGGGAGTAGAGAAAGAAAAAGATTCTTGGAATTTAATAATATAGTGAGGTACACATATTTTAAAATAAATAATGCATCTGCTATCAGCCGTTTTATGCCGATGTTAGTGTTGACTACTAAACTCTTAAGCTTATATTGAATTTCAGGGAAAGGAGAATAAAAGGAGAAAGTGGGAATAAAATGTTCCGAAAACGATTTTCAACTGCAGAACTTTAAGAGATTGCCAATAATTTATGAGACTCCCATGATGAAAAATCTCCTGGAGTAGATAGCACTGAAAGTGACTCTAACAGTGAAAATCAACTTTTGGAAGCAAGTGAAGAGGATGATCAGCAAGTAGTATTGAATGATCTTAAGGAATAATGTGTAGCTACAAGTTTCCAGACTTCAGATTGTGTATTTTTGAAACTAAAAATGGAATTATCTGGAAGAGTCAACCACAACCGACAGGACGCATGTGAACCTGCAACATAATAGAAAGCAAAATCCGCAAAGTAATATTAGCCCCTGGTCAAGGTGTAGATGAACCTGTTAATTCCTTTTGTTTGTAGATGAAAAAATTGGGAACGAAATAGTCAAGTATACAAATAAAAAAGCCAAAAAAGTACTGCGGATAGAGAACTGGAAATAATGCGATTCGACAAAGCTATATGCCTTTATTGGAGTACTACCATCTGCAGGGCGCCTGAATGACAAAAATCATAATGTAGAGGTACTTTGGAGTAAGTTTTAAGGACCTCCTATATTCAAAGTTACCGTGGGGATACAACGATTCAAAAATTTGTCAAAATTTGTTTGATTTGACTATAAAATCACGAGGCCTGAACTAAGAAGGAACGATAAATTAGCAGCAATACGCGATATGGAATCAAGTTAACCAAAACTTTTAGAAATACTATTTACCAGAAAAAAACATAACGGTTGATGAACAACTTGTTTCGCATCGAGGAAGATGTCCATTCAAGTAATATATGCCTTTAAAGCCAGATAAATATGGCATAAAAATATGGTGGTCCTGTAACTTTAACACTTATTACCCTTTAGGTGAAATACCATATACAGGAAAAAATGGAAATAGAGTGGCAAAGTAATGCATCTCAAGTTGTAAAGCAACTCGTTGAGTCTTATAATTCCAATAGGAATGTGGCTTGCGATAACTATTTCATTGATCTTGTTCTTGCATTTGAATTACTGGTAAACTCACTAGCTCTGGTGTACACAGTAAGAAAAATTGAGGTTTGTTTCTCAGGGATTTCTATCAAAGAATAACCGTTTAGAGAAATCTTCAATTTTCGGGTTCACTCCAAAAGCATATCTTGTTTCCTATGTTCCGAAAAAACAAAGAAGTCTCCTGGTTCTGTCTATCATGCATTTCAATGCTGACTGTGAAGATGATTTTAATAAAAACCAGATATTCTAATAGTATAAAACGTGTTGTCGATACGCTAGACCAAATGGTTCATAAGTATATATGAAAAAGACTGACTAATCGCCGGCGTTTTGCAATTTTTATGAATATTTTAGAAGTGGCTGAGGTAGTCTAATTTATTACTTTTTACATCCAGACTGGAATGAAAACAAAGATGAAAAGCGAAGATTGTTTCTTACAACGACAGCAGAACAACTAGTGTTGACTCAAAATGTTAAAAAAAAAATAAAAAAAAATTATGTTAAAAAAACATGATGACTCAAAAGAGACAAAAATGAGAGAAACTTGATGAGACTCAAAATGTTAAAAAAAATCAAGGGAACTACATCGAAAAAAAGACAGTGTATTGAAAAATGCTTACAGAAAGTTAATTCACATAACAAAAAGCCAAAACTAGAAAAACCTTCAAATTTAACAAAGGAAGGTGTCACATGTGCCTAACAAAAATGACAGGAAACAGAAACAAATTTGCGAAATAGAAATATATGTAACGACCACTATATAATTAAAAAAGTTTGTAAATTTTACAATAAAGAAAAATAAGTTAATTAATCTAGTGTTTTTATTAATCTAGGCAATCTAAATTTAACTTCAATAAAAAAATCAAAAAAGGATATTAGAAATATATAGGTAAATATAAATAGTACATTCAAGTGGGTAGAACAGTAGCGAGTGTACAAAAAAGGGTGTATATATGTGAAATTATTAATATAATTTCAAAGTATGAGATTAGGAGAGGTCGTAAAATGCTATACAGATAATAGCCAAATTCAATTTATAAAAAGTTTTACCAATATTACTGTTACACAAAGTAACAGCTGTCTTTAGCGGTTTTTACGCACGTGTTTAGCGGCACTAATATTAAGATCGAGAGATAGAGTACATTTGCGACTGTTGTCTATACGATTTAAAAGAAAATTCGCGGTATTTTTCGCGTAACTATCAGAGAAAGAGAGGGAGAGAGAGAGAGAGAGAGAGAGAGAGAGAGAGAGAGAGAGAGCGCGTCTGTTGCTAGCGGCACTTAATAATCGAGAGAGACACACACACACAGAGAGAGATAGAGAGAGAGAGAGAGAGAGACAGAGAGACAGAGAGCGTCTCTTTATGAGAGAGGTTGAAGTGGGAGTAGGAATTATTAATAAGAGTTGGAGTAGGGTAATGATTTTAAAATTGAAGTGGAGAATAAAAGAAATTAATACATCGAAAAATAGAACATGGTTTTTCGCATGTTAAAATGTGTTGCCCGGATAAGGGTAACTAAAATACTAATTCTTATTACAAACTAAACTATCTTATACTTTATTCTTATTCTACAATTACAGATAGAACCCTTACATTCTTTCTCAGTTTGCCATGTGATAATAGAAAAAGTATTATCTATAAAATCTTTTACACCAAGGATTTCTGTAGTTAAATTGTTTAATAAGTTTCCGACCTGTTCTTTCAGGGTGCTATTTACATGTGGATAGTAGGACCCTAAAAATAAATAAATTAATTAAAATTAAAATAACTAAATAAATTAAATTAATCTGAATATATTTTGATTGGATATCTTTACGTCTGTACAGTCGTTATTCAGTTTTTGTTGTGATATTCTTTTTATTTTTATAACCCCATTCAACAATCTAATACCAATAAAATAGTTGTTACAGGTATTCCTTGTCTTAGTTTCTCTTTAACTGTCTAACATTCAGAGCCGTACATCATAACTGGTCTTACGGCGATCAATACAGCAGGATTGACCATATGTATAGTTACCTAACTTATTTACAATATTTACAAAAATGTCACTATTACTGTACATTAATTACTATTTAACTGGGAATAAGCTACAATTAAAGGTTAAAGTACGTTTATTGACGTTAAATAGTTCTAGAGAACGATTTCCGAAGTGTAAATTAAAACGTCAATAAACGTTCTTTAACCTTAAATTGTGGCTTATTCCCAGTTAAATAGTAATTAATTTAAAATGCCACAAGAAAATAGCTTTTAAACAATATGACTGTTAATATATACAATAACATCAGATCAATAAATAAAACGTTGAATAAGGCAAGGAGATACATTGTCACCGAAATTATTCATATTATAACGATATTAGAGTATACCTTTAAATTGGTCAATTGGGACCACAGAGGAGTAAAAATAGACGGCGAAAAGCTTAACTATCTCTGTTTCGCAGATGACATTGTCCTTATAACAGATAATTTAGGAGACGCCACAGATATGTTAAATGAATTGGACTTTGCATATTTGAAGGTGGGCCTTAGAATTAACTTGAACAAAACTAAATTTATGACAAATATGGTCCCCAATAACCATTTAACTATTGAAGACAAAGTGGTAGCACTGGTGGAGAAATATACGTATTTTGATCATGAAATAAGAATCAGCAGGGATCACCAATCATGCAAAATCCAAAGACGAATTACTTTAGCGTGGGTAGCCTTTGGAAAACTGCGAGACACACTTACGGCCAACATACCAATTAGCCTCAAAAGAAAAGTATTTGACCAATGCGTATTACCCTTCACGATCTATGGGGTGCAAACTATGATTCTACTCAAGAGTACGGTTTCGAAATTGAGAGTAGCTTAGAGACGAATGGAACGCTCTATTATGGGAGTGACGTTGCGAGACCAAATAAGAAACGAAGATCTGCGAAGAAGGACGAGTATTGCTGATGTTCTGGAATGCATAGCAGACCTGAAATGGAAGCAGGCCATGTAGCGAGAATGCAGGACGCACGATGGACGAGGAAAATTACAAATTGGATGGCAAGAGCGACAAACGTAGTAGAGAAAGGAAGACCACCTACACGTTGGGCTGACGATAGCAGGCGTATTACCAAAAATTAGTAACAAAGAGCACAAAATCGTAAACAATGGAGGAGCTTAAGGAAGGCCAATGTACAGCAGTGAACATGATAAATGAAGGCTGGATGATGATGATCCTCCTCCTAAGTGCCTTCTCTATTGAGGTTGGCGATCAATATGGCAAATTTCTCTCTGTTCTGGGCTTGATGGATTAAGTCACTTCCTGTTGTGTGACTCCAATCTCTGATGTTTCGGAGCCATGATTTCTTCTTTCTTCCTATACCCCTTTTACCCTCTATTTTGCCTTCTAATATTACCTGGAGCTGCTCAAATTCCTTATGGAGCATTATGTGTCCTAGATATGACGTCTTTCTAATTTTGATTGTATTAACCAGAAGAGGTCGTGTATTCATTATTTCCAGTACCTCTTCATTTGTAGTTTTGCTGGTCCAGCTTATTCTTAGCTTTCGGCGGTACATCCACAATTCGAATAAATTCAGTTTGTTGACGTCATACTGTTTTAATGTCCAGGTCTCACAGCCATATAGTAGTAGAGACCACACATAACACTTTAGTGTTCTTAACCTTATTGTGATTGATAGCTTGGGGTTACAGAGCATTTTACGCATGTTCATGAAGCCAGATCTTGCTATTTCAATACGTCTTCTACATTCTTTTGAGTGTTTTAGCTGACTGTTGGTCACAGAGTAGTCTGTGACTTTCTTCTGATAGTATGTTCATTAATATTTTTAGTTGGTCTTCTGCATATCTTACGTAATGATGATTCCATTGACTTTGGCACCTTCAGGGCGATCTTCAAAAGAAGCTCTGATGATATTTTCGGCATAGACATTAAATAGAAGAGGGGACAGAATGCACCCTTGACGCACTCCTCGTTCTATGTTTACATAATTGGTATTTCCGTTGTCTGTTCGAACACATCCTGTGTGGTTCCAGTATGTATTGCTTATTATAATTATTTCGTGTCCGTCCAGCCCTACTTCTTTTAGCACCTCAATCAATTTTTCGTGTCTAATGCGGTCGAAGGCCTTTCTATAATCGACAAAGCACACATACAGCTGTTTTTGAACCTCGAGATACCTTTCTGCCATTAGTGTCAATCAATGATGATGATGATGATAATGATTTCCTCTTTAGATTTCTAATTAGCGAGTAACATTATTCCATATGGTTATATAGTGCTAATAATTTGTGGGTGTTTTATTACTTTGATAGTGGATATACGCTTTTAGTTTTTCATAGGCTAAAGTTTTAATTTAATTAGTGAACCATGGTTTGATCTTCCTTTTACCATTTATATTAACCTTCCGTGTTCCCATGCTGCCTTTAGCAGCGGTTATTATGTTCTTTTATATTGTTTCCCATCTTTGACCTATTTCATTTCCTAATATGCCGTTTTCTTCAATTTTTTTTTAATCGTCTTTGATATAGCTATCAAGTTGTTGTGTCTTCTAAGGTCTTGATATTTATTTTTTTCCATATATTTTGGTGGTAATTTTTTCTTTAGTATATTTTTATTTTCCTAGATTTTCCCTAAAACCATAATGTGGCCTGATCTTATCTTATGTGATGTTAATGTTCTGATATCTAATACCTGTTTAGTGTGTATTTGCTTGCTCGTTATTATATAATCTATATTTGATTTATGTCCTTGGGTGTTTGTTAACGTATAGTTGTGTTGTGGTTCCTGTGAAAATAATGTGTTATTTATTCTCAAGGTTTTATGGACGCAGAAATTCGTTTCTCCATTTCGATTTATTGTCTCTTCGTTGAAACGTTGTTTTATTCCTTCTAATACTTCGTTAACTATTCTTGCTTAAGTCGTCTAATAATATGACTTTTTATCTATATTAATTGTATTCATCTAATATTGTAATGTACTGTAGATGGCTTCAGTTTGTTCTTCGGTCTTACTTAAATCTGGAGCATATACTGATATACTTTTTTCAAATTTCTCGTGGATGAGTATCCCAACTCCTAAGTTTGTATATTCTCTTTTTTCTTTCCCGTTGTATACCAATATATAATTTGGATATTCTACAGTTCCCTTACCTTTTTTACATGTCTCTGAAATTCCGCATATACCGATTTTGTAGGTATTCAGTTACATTGTTATTTCACGTTCTCTGCTTGTCCATAATTTAATATTCCAACATGCTATTCTTAACATATCCTTTCTCGTTGTTCTTTTTCTTACCATTTTCGTCGTCATTTGGTTCCGTCTTGTTTCCGAGGCTTTTTTGACCGGTTCTTTGTGCACTGATTCTTTTTTAAGAAAGGTAGGTTTCTCATCTTGCCTATCAACCCGCCACTTTTATTCGGGCTTGAAACCGGTTGTGATAACTACCAAGCTACTCGATCCACCCGATAGTTATCCCAGGCAGTGTTTTCGTATCACTAAATCAAGAGAAGTTTAGTGATACAAAAAGCCATTCGTCCGGAAACCAAGATATTAGTCCACCTACAAAACACCAGAATTAATAGTTTGTGATCAGATAGCAATATTCTTAGCACTCCTACCCCATTTAAGGATGACCGTTAAAATTATCATCTATTTCCATGATGTTTCCTTAGAAACGTTAGGACTGATTATGTGATTATGTAGCAGAAAGAAAATAGTGACCCGTCCGCTCTCGGAATCGTAATAACCAACAATAATCAGGCTCAAAAGAAACAAGAGTCAACCAAGATAAGATTAAATACATTTCAAGTAATGTTTATATTCAAAGATAAACAAGAATAAAATGTGAAGGCCCCTATGATCCAGCAGGTGGGTTTTATAAGCTTATGATAATTAATATACTATGTGTTCCTGCTCATATCTCGGGGTGTTGACAACAGGCTGTATGACTAGTTCAACATACAAAAGAATGAGAGGATAGAGTATACGTCATTTCACAATGTTGAAACCTCTACATCACAACTCCATGACTTGACAGTACTATCTAACTTTGTTAGATAATATTAAATTAATTTTTATGAAGTTGTAGTCACAACTGACTCGACGCACTGTAAGTCTAGTGGCATGATAGTCTTTATAATAATAAAAAAAAAAACTATCCCACGTGAGACCAAGTAAAAATATTGAAGTACGCTCTGAACATTCTAATAAACATTAATTTTGTTTTCAGAATAATTTTTTTATTTTCTATAATAAAAGGTGTAATAAAAAGTTCTGAAGTTTTAAAAATTGCTAATAAAAATTTTGTATTTCAACTATGTTAATGGACTTATGCACTTGTTTTATTTTTAATTTGTTTTTCAATATATGACTTACTATATATTACGTGGAATCTGATTCTGTTTCTTTAAATGTTGTGTTAAAATCTAATATTATGTTTTCCAAACGTTGACTCGATTATTTAGATGTTACTGATTGTAAAGTGAAAAGCTTATTGAATCGTTTGTTATTGAATCTTGCATCTTAAACAGATATTCAATATAGATTATAGTATCGCTGACAGCGTTTCAACATTTTTCTGAACTAATTGGCTTAGTTTATTGTATTTATTTTAACACTTTTAAAGTAACTGAAATTCTTGACTTAAATTAAAATAGTCAACGATTACATCAAGAACAATGATGTATAGAGACAAAGAAGGAGATATAGTAACTTAACAGAGTGAAATACTACAAAGACGGACAGAATTCTTCAAAGAAAAGTTTAAAAAAAAACAAACGAAGATCCACTATATGATGGAATTATACTGGATCAAACCATGGACGTATATCTTTATTTATACGTCCATGGATCAAACGGATGTCAGAGAAACAACCCCCTCCTTCAGTAGCTGAAATGCAAGAAGCAGTTACCAGATTGAAAAACATGTCACCTGGATTAGACAACATTAGCGCAGAATTAATAAAGTAAGGTGGAGACTCCCTATTGAATGCGATACACGAACTAATAGTGAATATATGGAATAATAAACAACTGCCACAAGACTGAAATACCGAAGTAATTATCCCACTACATAAAAAGGGAGATCAGCTTCAATGTAAAAACTACCGGGCAATAACGCTACTGACTGTGGCATATAAAATACTGTCAAATATTGTGTATGTCCGCAGACAAAAGTCCACAATAGATCAGTTGATCGGTTGAGTTTACCGAAAGTACAAGCTGATTATAGCCGCAAATGTTAGACATGGAACAACAAACTTTGGTATAGCAGTGTTGGCATGTTTTTATAATGTAGATGCTGTATGCTTCAAACATAAACAGATAAAGCTTTAGAAAAGTACATTTTGTTTATATTATGTTATAAATTCTGCAATTTTTGATTTGTATAAAACAAGAATGAGTAAGTATTTGTTTCTTTAGGGATTAATTGCAGTTAATTATTAGAAATTTTTTTTGGCAATTACCCTTTGATATATTAAGGAATAGATTTGGCAATCGTCAAATCCGCAGTTGCCAGATTGCAACCGATGTGTGCAATTAACCTCGAAAGAGAGAAATATTTAATCGTTATTGCTTCATATAAATTAAAAATTGCAGAATTCATAAAATAGTATAATCGATATCTACTTTTTAAAAGCTTTCTCTCTTTATATTTGAAGCATACAACAGATGCATTCTAAAAACATCTCACCACTGCCAAACCCAAAGATTTTTGATGTTTGCGGCTATATTCAGCTTGTACCTTGGGTAAACTCAAACGATCAGATCTTCGTCTTGAAGCAAATCTTGGAAAAGACTAGTGAATTTAATATAAACACACTTCATCTTTTCATTAACTTTGAGAGTGCCTATGATAGCATCCATCGAGAAGTTCTAATCCATGCACTGAAAGAGTTTTATATTCCAACTCAACTCATTGATATACTAAAGGAAAAACTTAAAGTACAAAGCAAAATTCGAATTCAAAACGAACTAACAGATACAATCCATGTGAGAACGAGCATACGACAGGGAGATTACCTATCCTGTATTCTACTCAACATCACATTAGAGAAAATAATTAGGGAGTCAAAAGTCAACACCAGAAGAAAAATAATAACAAAAAGTGTACAAATATTGGCATTTTCAGGTGATGTTAATATCATAGCTAGAAGCGAAAGAGAGATGATAAAGCATTTAATGCGATAAAAAGAGGCCTATACATTAATGAAATAAAAAACAAATACATGAAGGCCAATAAATCGACAAGCCAAAGAAACCTACAGAATCTGACAATAGGAGACTATAATATCGAAAGTAAATGGAATAGAAACAAACGTTAAAGATGACATCATAAATATAATCCACCATTTCTACTCAGAATTATATAAAACAAAAAAGGAATCACCAGAAGAAATTAAAAACCAACTTAAGGTCAAAATAAAAAATGTCAACTCAGAGCTGCAGCCCGAAATAAGCAAATCAGAAATAAAGAAGGCATTGAAAGAAATGAAAAACAACAAGTCGCCTGGAAAAGATGGAATAACTGCAGAGATGCTGAAATATGGTGGAAAAGTGGTAATAAATACTCTACATTCCCTTTTTAACAAGATATTAAAAGAAAAAAGAATCCCAAACAACTGGAAGGAATCAGTAACCATTATCCTACACAAGAAAGGGGATAAAGCAGATATAAAAAACTACCGTACTATAACACTCCTCAATGTAATGTATAAACTCCTAACAAAAATTTTAACCAATAGATTGACGACAAAATTCGGTGGATACCAGTCGAAAGAACAAGCTGGTTTTAGAAAGGGATTCAGCACAAGTGACCATTTACTAAGTATGTAAATACTTATAGAACGAGCAAATGAATACCACACCACATTCCTCTATATATGGCATTCAACGATTTCGAAAAGGCTTTCGACAGTGTCGAACATTGGGCAGTAAAAAGTTCTTTGATTAACAGCCGAATTGACCACAGATATACGGAACTAATAACCAATATATATATATATATATAAGGAAGCCAAAACAACAATTAAAGTATATGAAGGAATAAAATCATTACAAATAAGTAGAGGCGTGAGACAGGGTGATACAATATCACCAAAACTTTTCAATCAGGCTCTTGAAGATACTTTTAAAAGATTAGAATGGAAAAAAAGGTAAAAAAATTTGTGGACAACGCTTGAACCATCTAAGGTACGCTGATGACATCGTATTGATAACCGATAAAATGAAGAATTATTTGAAATGATGAAAGAACTGGACGTAGAAGCTGGAAAGATAGGCCTTAATATGAATTACAGCAAGACCAAAACTATAACAAATACAGAAACAAGTTAAGGATTATATATATATATATATATATATATATATATATATATATATATATATATATATATATATATATATATATATCTTGGTCAAACTATAAAACTTAACAAAGATAACCAAACAGCAGAGATCAAGAGACGAGTTAGACTGGCATGGGCGGCATTTGGCAAACTAAGCTACATACTTAAAAACAAAAGATATCCACAGCATCTTAAGACCAAAGTATATAATCAATGCATACTCCCTGTTCTTACTTATGGTTCCCAAACGTGGACATCTACAAAAGCAAACATGGACAAAATCATAAAAACCCAAAAAGCAATGGAAAGACAAATGTTGCACATTAGACTAATGGATAAAAAGAGAAACGACTGGATAAGAGAGAAAACAAAAGTGAGGGATGTTAGACAAGAAGTTGCAAAATTGAAATGGAGATTTGCCGGACACAGTATAAGACAAAAATAAGACCGATGGAACAAAATTCTTATAAGTTGGAAACCGTGGGAATATAAACGAAGCAGAGGAAGGCCCCAAATGAGATGGGCAGATGATATCAAGAAGCACGTGGGCTCTAGATGGATGACTGTAGCGACAGACAGAGAAGAATGGAAAAGGATTGGGGAGGCCTATGTCCAAAGATGGACCGAAGAAGGCTAATTAGATAGATAGAATATCGAAAGCGTGAAAAATTTTTACTTATCTAGGTTCACTAGTTATCGCAGATAACAATGTCAGTGAAGAAGTTAAGAGAAGAATACAGAGAAGAAAACATAATAATTAAACATCTAAGATTTAACAACATCCCAAGAAAATCCAAATGCAAAATATACAAGACCCTGATAAAACCGGTCCTTGTATATGGATCAGAGAGACGGACACTGTCGAAAAGCGATGAGAACCCATTAGGTACATTTAAACGAAATATCTTTAGACACATATAAAAGGGGGCAAAGGAAAATGACATATGGCTCAGAAGATATAACTTTGAACTATACACAGCATACAATGAACCCGAGATCATAACATCCATAAAGATCGGACGTCTGCTCTGAGTGGGCCATGTTGAACAGATGTTGGAGACTGAAACACCAAAACATATAATGAGGCAAACACCAGTAGGGAGAAGGTCAAAGGGAAGACACAAACTTAGATACATGGAACAAGTGGAACAAGATCTGAAAACACTTAAGATTACCAACTGGAAAAACAAAGCAAGGAACAGAACAGAATGGCAAAAAATCCTAGAACAAGCCAGGACCTAGAAAGGGTTGTCGAGCTACTGATGATGATGATGATGAAGTCAATGATTACATTACCTTAGTATGTCTGCGTTTAAGTTGGTTATGTAAAATAATGATATAAATTAAACATAGTTAAATAAAATCGTTATTTAAATATATTTACCCAGTTGTATTTCTTTATTTTTATAGATTCAGGATAATTCTGACCTATATCACCCAGTTTGCATCTTTTAACGTCAGTATCGATTATCTCTTTTTGAAATATATCTTGAAAGTATCTCAAATAATTAATTGTAACACCTAAACACTCTGTATTGGAATGATAGTGATCTGGATATTTCGTTTTGGTATAGTCAAATAACCCAAGAGAGCAAGCCGTTCGTCTGTCTGCAAGGCATGTCCAACTGTGGATAGATTGTTTAACCTGAAATCAGAAGACGCTGACAATACTTCAGTATTCAATTACCGTAAATACTTTCAAATATCATAAACCCAATAAAAAATGGATAAAAACATTAATTTGTTTTAGATATATGTTCAAAAATGTAAATTGTGGACAAATTAAGTAATGCCACGTAAGTTCTAGTACAATGACCGCTAGAATTCAATATATTCCATCACGCAAATTCAATATGAAGTTAGCGTCTATCAGCACCGAACATTCTGGAATCCTGCAACACCAATTGTGACGTGGTAGAACAGCAAATTCACCATTTGTATTTACTATAAAAAAAACATCAAAAAAAAATTTAGAGTGGTATATTTGTAGTCTGAATATTATATTATAATTTGTAACTAAAATCTTGTTAATACTGCTAGTGTAAATAAAAGTTTATTTAAACTATATTTTTCAGAAGAACAATGACGCAAAGTCAGTAAGGAAGTGGAAGAGTTTTCGAAGATCGCCGTGACTTAAGTTTTTCTCCACTATTCCAAGAACCAGTCCTAAGAAAACCGCCTGCAGAGAGTTCGCCCGAAGGAATTAGAAATTATACCCGATTCACAATTTGTTGATAATTCACTACAAGTTTAATCCTAATTAGAGAACTGAAATACAGAGAGGATAGGTAATACGATATAATAGTAAAAACCAACCTGAAACTGACAATTTAAGATGTTTTCGACTAACCCACCTTGTATCTGCCGGAATACAATACACGGTCAAGCTTATAATCCGATTAGGAACGTATTTTGGCCGACCAGTGTCGTAGAGTATATGATTGAAACATTTATTTGAACTAAATAAATATATTTTTTAAATTGTATTTTTGTTTTAATAAAACTTATAATAAAATAAAATATTTTATTCAAAAATAAAGTTTTTTGCTATTTGTAAAAGATACATTTATTTAATTAAGGGGAAAGACACCAAATGTGTTTTAAATGTATCCATTATTTTCGAATTCGGAGAAAACTAATAAATGTTTTTGAAAAATTTAAATGCAGAGTGAAAGATAACATTATTATACATTATATATGTGTATACTGATGTATATTACAGAAAGTCCCTGAAAACTTCTACAATGTTTATTTTATTATGTTATGCAACAGGGGTGAAAATAAAAGAGAGAATATAGTATAATTTTTAATTGAAAATATTGCATGCAAAAGAAACTTTTTATTTATTCTAATAAATATTTTATTCTGCCTTTAAATTTTTCCAAAAAGGCTTTTTAGTTTTCTCAGGATTTGAAAAGAAAATCGATACATTTAAAACACGTTGAACATTTTGACAGGCGACGTTTTGCGCCTTTCCCCTTTAATACCTTACGATTACAACTACTATCACTTACCTTATATAATTACGATTAAAAAACTATTCAAATTCAAAATAAATAGGATCAACTTCGGAATCCGAGTCGTCCTGAGGGTTAATAATTAGCGGTTGTGTCTCTACGGTCGCATTAATTATGTTATCAAGATCCCACATTTTTTGTTCTTCTTCTATTACATGTCTTACTGCATCTTTCCAGTTTTGTTCTGTAATGTGTTTTAATGACTCGTATCACGTATCGTATTCACGTACAGCTTGTATTTTATAGGACGTATTTTTTCTAGCCACATAACTTTTCATTTGTGCCCAAATGAGTTCAATTGGATTTATTTCGCAGTGGTAGGCTGGAAGTCTAAGGACTGTGATGTTTCTCCTTTCCGCCATTTTGTAAACTACGTATTTCTTGAACTTAGATTTGTGTTGCCGGGCAATTTTTAAAAGTTCTGCTTTTACCATTCCATCTTCGTAAGGCAGGTACTTATTCCGCAGCCAGTCAAGATTATCCTGTTTTTTCCACGTAGTCGTTGGAAGTCTTTCTACTAGTCGTGAATGATGAGGTGCATGATCTAATACTATAATTGAATTTGGTGGTATGTGTTCAATCATCTGCACAAAATACTCTTCGAAAACATCAGCTGTCATCTCCTCGTGATAGTCTTTTGTGCTTTTGTACTGAAATTCCAACAAACCATGCTTAACAAATCCTTTTTCACTGCCAATGTGAGAAATTATTAATCTACTGCCTTTACCAGAAGGTGGGGAGATACCAGTAGACCAACCTTCCATAAAGGCTTGCCTGGAGCTTAATATATTTTTATCTGACCAAACTTTTTTTAAGAGTATGACCTGAGTTTACCCACGATTCATCCTGGTAGAAGATTGGCCTTTCTTCAGCCCGGAATTTTCGTATGGATCTTAGGTAATTTATTCTCCAACATATTATCTCCTTCCGGTCAATCAAAAGTGATTTTCGGTCTGATTTCTCACACTGGAAATTTAATTCTTTTAAAACTTGCCACAATGTAGTTAGTCCGATATGAGGCAAATCCGGATCATCTCTAACTTCTTGTAAAATTTTATTTAGGTTTGGTATTTTTTTTTTGAAAAAAAATCCATGAATTTTCCTTCGAATACCATTTTTGGCAAATTCATCAAGTTCAATAGGCTTTTTCCCTCTTTTTAAGTGTTCGTTTAAGTGTTTAAGTAAATCTTTAAGTGATTTAAACGGTTGTGTTTGGGTTAGCTATACCGTGTTTTTTTCTTTCTGATAGGAACCTATATATAGTTGACTCCCCTACGCCAGTCATGTTGGCACAACTTTCGACTATGTTGCGAACAGTGTTTGTGGGATTCTGAGAAACCAGAGCATCGTGAACATTCAGGACAATAGTCTTCTCTCTTGGTGAATAGACAGACTTACTGACTGTACGCAACAGTACCGGTGTAAAACTTAATGATGTTGATGATGAAGCCATCACAAACAATCCAACAAAACGAGCACGAGCGAAAGGTACGTATATGTTCGTAGGTATATGAAATAAAAAATCACTCACGCACTGCATATAATTCGCAAAAGAAATATTCGAGACGCTAATTACTGCCGTAGAAGCGGAAACACCGACGAGCCGTAAATTACATGCGATCAAAAACGTACTAAACAAACAAATTGTTTTCGTTCGTAATAACTTCACCCTTTTAAGTTAAGTTTCGAATATAAACTAAACAGACGAGGTACGTGGCCAAATCCGGCATCTATACCCATTATATTATTAAAAATCTGGGGAATTCCATCCTAGTTATCTTGCAACCGATAGTACCTTCGGATATAAATACCAGGTTTTCTAGTAAAGTGATTAAACGCGAAGATTAGTATTGAAATATCCAAAGAGATAAGGTATTCTTATTTACAAAATTGTTAATGGTTAAATTATTATTTTTATTAATATAATATAATAACCAACATTAGCCGTGAAAGTTTTAATTGTTTTTTACTAAATATATCAGTATTAAAACATTATTATTATTAATATTAATTTTAATAAATAAACACCTCAGGAACGCCTATGATGATACAAATTTTACGACCGTTTGATGATTTTGAGGCATATTTCGTGCTATCAACAATTTGTGAACAGAGAATAGAAGTCTTAAAGTTCAAAAGAATGCCCATCAGCATTGTTTTTATCTTGTAAGCATATTTTATTACTTATAATTAAGAAAAATTATTTTTCTTGGAAACGATTTTTATGTCTCCTTCAGACTCCAGGTCTTAGATTCTACTTAGAGTTAGATTTAGAAACACTCATAGCTGTCTTTATTGGATCAATACCAATTCCGATTGGTTTAGGTAAACTCATACTCACCACCCTCCAAAACTTAATGAATGGGAATTCCTAATTTTGGGAGACCATGTTGTTGGACCACTTTTCATTGATGGAGCGACCTACTTATAATTATTAGAACATTGGCCCTATAATTACGAAAATTTTATAAAAGGCAATAATCTATTTAGGGATCAGATAAGGTTTAAGCTCAGGTTCGAAAGTTTTAAATGAGCGTTTTCCCATAGTAGATTGGCCGAAGAGATGCAATAAAATGACCAGCTAGATCTACAGCTATAAATGCATAAGATTTTTTCTCTGAAGACATCTGAAATTAATCATTTACCCCACTCAATCCAAAAATACACAAGAACACAAAGAATTATCGTGGAATAAATGAGAATAACTCTTAGATTTGTATTAATGATCACGGTAATCATAATCCGAGATCCGGCAGAAGAGGCTTAAGCCACGAGGATCACAGGGCCTCCCAGGTAGTCAGAAAGCGAAATTCCTGTGATATTCTGAAGATAGCATCTATAAAATCTACAATTCAACTCAAAACGCACAAAAGAATAGGTACATGGCATATACGAAGTCTATACTAACAAGAAAAAGCTCAACCTGATACAAGAAATGCAACACTTAAAGATAGACATCCTTGGATGTAGTGAAGTTCGATGGTCTAAGAGCGACAGAAGTTTAATAGATAACTACGTGTTTTATTACTCTGGAGATAACACCCCACAAAATTAGAATGGAGTAACTATTGTCATCAACAAATAAACCAAAGATCCGTCAAAGGGTTTATACCGATAAGGAACAGAATTGCACTGATAGCACAGAGGAATAAATAGACAGCTTTTACAATGAATTGGACAAAACACTGAAAGAAACCAAAAAATAAGGAAGTTAATATTATTTTAGGCGACTTCAATGTGAAAGTAGTGAAAGGAAGAGATGGATAAGTAGTAAGCGAATATGGACTAGGAACACTAGGACTAGGAATGGAAAACGCTAATTCAGTTTTGCAAGGATAACGAACTCTTTATCACACATGGTACAAACCACCAGTCCAAATAATATACACCTGGAGAGCCCCTGTAGATAAAGGTGAGAACATAGTAAAAAACCAGATTGGCTACATCATTATAAACCAAAGATTTCGTAACTCCATAGTATCGACTAAAGTTTACCCAGAGGCAGATATAGCAAGTGACTATAACCTTGTGGTCACTTGCCACAACCTTTAGCAAATATGAAACTTAAACTAAAGGAAATAAAAATAGCCACCAAAAGCCACTTAGAATTAATCTAAGAAGACTAAAAGAAGCCGATCTTTGCCAACAGATTAAAGAACAAATACACAAGGAAATCCAGAAAGTAGAAACACAAGGATAACTTACCGCTACAGAAAAATGAAGAGAGTTGAAGAAGATTCTTAGGAACATCATACAACAATAACTAGAGGGCGATACATCCTCTAAAAGCAAACAGTGTGGATAACACAAGAAATAAAATTATTTAGTGAAAGGAAAAGAGGACCGGGAAACAACGCAGATCCTGGTTGAAAAATTTAAAAAGTAGAGGTAGAGTGGTAGAGTGAAAAAACACCAATAGAACTATTCAGAACTGTTGCAGACAGAGTGAAATGGGCCGTGATGATCGCCAACGTTCAAAGGATTAGGCACATGAAAAAGAAGATTAATTTTTAAACTTTAAAACTTTGTAACGAAGCCCTCTTCCTAATTACGTCTTCATCTAATTTAAATATTTGTGTGGGGCTGCAATCCCCAGCAAAGGGTTAAAACTGCAAGAATTATTTTTGCATAAAGATTGGTTCTCCTTAATATAAAAATTGAATTTATTTATTTATTATTAAATTTTATTAACTATTTTTAAATTATTGTGACAAAAATTGACATAACCTTTAAAAACAGTAGATAAAAGTATCAAAGATAAAAATTTACCGTATTTGCTTCATATGGTAACAACTCGAATTTTATATATTTCGAGAGACCCGCATCTAATAGTGGCTGAACTTCTTGCAAAATAACATCCTTTGTATGTGCACAGAATGATAAGTCTTCATAAAAGATTACTACATGAATCTAAAAACGAAAAAAAAATAATTATTTATATATAAAGCAAACCTACCTATGATTAGATAATACCTATATGGATTAATAGCATCAATACGTTGATGTCTCCGTTTGTCTAAGTGCCTTTTAGGTTTGTTTACAACGCAGCGTCTGCCAAGTGGCTATTAGATCACTTCCGAAAACTGTTGATATTTATAGAGTTGAAATTCTGGGGACAATATTTGACTTGGCTGCCACCCCGAGGAATATCATATTTGCATTCCAGAAATTCAAAATTAATCTTGTGCATACAATATTTTATATGTGTATTGTATGCACACGCTATTTTTAAGTTAGTACTAATTTTTTAAATTTGTATGTGTGTACGATTATCACATACTTGAGATACATACTATATTTTATCTATGATAATTAGCTAGCTTCACGTTTTAAGTTCCTACTTTACTCTTTAGTTCGTATATGTCTTTATGATTATCATATCCGCCAGGTCTATAATATATTTTTTCTACTCTCTTACTAGTAAATTGTATATTACCTACTATTTGGATGCTAAGTAAATGCATCATAACAGATACTGTCACGTAATGACTAGCACGTAATAAAAAAAATTACGCTTTAGTTTTATAATAGTATATTACATAACAAGAGTTGTAAGAAGCTTATTACATGCGAGTAAAAAAGTTGAGCGCGAACCGCGTAGCGGCGAGCGCAGTAATTTTACAAGCATGTATTAAGCTTACAACTCAAGTTGTGTACTATACTTTTTCTACCATTATTTTCGTTTATAAAAATAAAAATAAAATTACCACTATATTTACACTGACAGATTAATAATTTTTAATCTGTCAAAATAACGTCTGTTAATTCGTTTCCATGGTAACTCGACCAACTGACTTACGAGGCTTATGTGATATTACACATTTTTATAAAACTGAAGCGTAATTTTTTTTATTACGTGCTATTTATAGTCATTACGTGTCGGTATCTGTTATGATGCATTTACTTAGCATCCAAATAGTAGGTAATATACAATTTACTAGTAAGAGAGTAGAAAAAAAAATGTGTAATATCACAAGCCTCGTAAGTCAGTTGGTCGAGTTACCATGGAAACGAATTAACAGACGTTATTTTGACAGATTAAAAATTATTAATCTGTCAGTGTAAATATAGTGGTAATTTAATTTTTATTTTTATAAACGAAAATAATGGTAGAAAAAGTATAGTACACAACTTGAGTTGTAAATTACATGCTTGTAAAATTACTGCGCTCGCCGCTACGCGGCTAGCGCGCAACTTTTTTACTCGCATGTAATAAGCTTTTTACAACTCTTGTTATGTAATATACTAATTTTCTACCCTCAATTAATTTAGGAAAACAAATCACATGACATACATGTTAATAAGACAATTGACCATCTATCAATTTGTTTGTTATCTGGGCTAGCATTCATTATCTTGTTCCGTTCGTCCGTCGAACTAAGTGTAATGTTAATGGGGTCTAAGAGACAATGGCCACCTTTGACGTAAAACGCGACATTTTGACATGAAATGCAACATTTTAATGTAAAACATGATTTTTATAAGCAACGCCTGATAAGTCAGCGGGAAATATCTACACGACAGAGAGATGACAGCTCCTCAAAACTCTCGACTATAGATAAAGTCACGTTCAGATGGCAGTGTACGGATATAGGATAACAGCGTTGCCAATTCTACTGCCATTGTAAGTTTTGCTACTTTTGTAAAATAAGCAGGGCCAAACTCACGGTAAACTAAGATATGTTTAGGTAAGCTAAAGTTGTTAATAGAAAATTCGTGAATGAAATAAATGGTAATAATTCCTAAAATGCTTTTATACATAATACCGCAGTTAATAGGGAAAAAATATGAAAAATATTCTACAGGTTTTTTAATGTTCTAAACGGTAGATAGGGATAACTGATGATAATTCCTTGAAGAATTACAGTCAATTTTGCTTTGTTTATTTTTTAAAGAAAGAAGAAGTTTGGAAAAAATCATTTTTTTGCCTATTTTGTTCCTCGTGCATTTTAGGGAAAAATGATTCAAATAAATGTTGCAGATCTTAAAAAGTTTTTTAATTTTTTAGTTTGTAAATTAAAATACATAAACAAATGACTGAGATAATTGCAAAAAAACCCCTAATTGAGGCCCCTAGAACACAAGGGTGTAAGTGCAGTTGCTTATCACTTAGGAACTGATATCTAACAACAGGCACGTACTTTTGGCTTCAAACTTTCTACATTAACAACAATAACACCATCAAAAATTACATGTCATTGAAAACATGCTGAAAACTGAAAAAGTGCTACCTAGGTTTTTAAATTTATATCGAACTTTGAACAAAGATTTTTCAAAACTTTGTTTTTGGCACTTACACCCCTTGTGTTCTAGGGGCCTCAATTGTGCACTAATTTATTAAATGTTCATAACTTTATTTTTTGCATAATGACGTCTAATATAACTACTTGAAATTATGTCGATTAATGAGTTATTTAAGTGTGCTACATTTCAACCAGATCAACTAAATATTTTATTACCTTTACTGAGGAAAGAATACCCCCGAAAAACAATTTTCAATCATCTTCATTTTCATAATCTAGTTCATCTTCAGAGTCATCGTTTAATGAAATTCTTATAGGTTCAATGTCATCTTGAATGTTGTCTACTGTCCAAAAATTATTCTCCAATTTTATAACATGGTTGACGTAATTTTTCCAATGTCCATTGTTCTGTACTTTATCATAACCTTCATAAATCAATGTTTTAACGTCGTTTTGTTTGAAACTTGAATTCTTAGAGGACACGTACCGTTTCACTTCACTCCACACCATTTCTATTGGGTTCAGTTCACAGTGATAAGGCGGATGTCTTAAGATATGTACATCTACGCGGCATTGTTCGTCACTGTGATTCCTGTATTTTTCACCAATACAATCAATTTTGTATTTGTCATAAATATTTTTAAATACATTAGCAGTTTCCAGAAGTTCATTTTTTAAGTAATCTTCTTCAAAATAAATGTCCTTTTCATAGAGCCACTCCTTAATTTGACGTTTCACCCAATATTGTTTGGGAAAATTTAATTTCCTAGAGTGATAAGATGCATTGTCCAAGATAATGACATTCTTTTTATTTTTTGGGAGATTCGGTATTAACATCTCTTCAAACCATTTTTCAAATAGATCTCCGTCCATCTCTTCATAGTAATCTTCAGCACCTTTTTTGGCAAGAAAAGTGATGTCAGCACCTTCAACAAATCCGTCTTTGTTTCCTGCATGGACTAAAACAAATCTTGGTCCTTTTCCGGTCGGAGTTTTTAAACCTGTGGTAAGTCCATTTACGAAAGCCTGTCGGCTATTTTTTATTGTTGTATCTTGCTATACTTGCCCATTGGTTATTCCAGTATTAACCCATGATTCGTCCATATAAATGATATTGGCTCCTTCGTTCCTCAGTTTCTTTATTTCCCGGAGATAGTGACGCCTCCAAGCGACTATTTCTTGTTTTTCTATTAATATTGAATTTCTACCTTGTTTGCCATATATAAAACCCATGTCGTGCAATAGTCTTCTCAACGTACTCTTGGAAAAATTCGGAAGATGCTCCATTTGCTTAATTTTTTCTAGTACTACGTCAACTGTTGGAGGAATATTGTCCATAAAAAAACCGTGCACTACTTGTCTTATTCTAGACCGAGTTGCTTCATCATATCTATTCTCACGACTATTCAAATAACCGGTTTTTTTTTTCTTATAGGAGTTACGAGTGGACCATTTTTACTTTCACTTCTATATCGGAATATCGTTCGCTCAGAGACTCCAGTCATAGCAGAAACTTCCCGCACTATTGTTGATACACTTTTATCATTATTACTGTTTGATAAATAGTTAAAAACATTTAACACTATTTTTTTGCATTCACTATTTAACAAATTACCGTTTTTGAATTTTATTACACTCGCGGCCATTTTGACACTGACACGACACAAACGTCTGATATCAACTGAAAATTCTTTTAATGACTCTCAAGTATTTACCTGAATTTATAATTGCTGGCATTAGACAATAATTTTGAATTTATAAATAGGTATATTTTTTTAATTCTAAATTATTTTTTAATGTCTGTAACTGTAAATGCAGGTAGAGAAAGTGTGTCATTAAAAGGACATTAAGATCAAAAACGGATTATACAAATAATTATTTCATTTCCACGAATTGTAAACAATTTTGAACAGAAGATATAATTCCGAAAAGACCAGATTTCCGAAATATAACTTTCTATTTTTAAAATACCAACAGAAAAATTATATAATTAAAAAAATGTAGTATTTTTCCGTTTCACATTCATAAATATTTCCGAAATTATAATTCTTTTATAGGAGCCGGCCCATAACGTACGATTGTAGGTACGATTAAAAACTGACAACAATGTAGATATTTCTGGCATATAGAAAGTACAGGCCTATCTCTGTAACGCTGCCATCTGAATGTGAATTTATCTATAGTAACATTAACTCCTTGCCTGCATCTCGCCACAGCTATAGACAGTTGAAGAATACATATTTAAGGTATTGATAAGTAATTGCAACACGTGACACTTCAAAAGAGATTGTGTTAAATGTAGACATAGACGTCTACGTCGAGTGTCGACTAGGAATTTACGACGTAGACGTAGACTTATAATACGTATTGAATTACTGCATTACGAGTTAATCGGAAAGGCCGATATCGAGTTGAAGTCAAAGTGGTGTCGAATACTCGAAGACGACGATCCGAAAAAGCAGCCAAGAATATGGTAAAATGAAAAGTTGTTGATGAGAAAGGCCAAGATAAAAGCGAAAATGGTGATGATTTTCCCGCCTTTATCTCTTCTGGAAACTCCGATCCTGAGCCTGTCTAATGCTCCAGTTTCAGAAATTGGATTCTTCGCACTTCTTAACTTTTTAAATGTCTGTTGTTTAAATTAATTAAATGAAGAAAATATCACAGTAGTCAATAGAAAGGCATGAGGAAATTTCGTTTGTTTTAATGTTCCCAAATTTAATGTTTATAATAAATGGTTTGAGGCCAAGTATCAAATTGTGGTATAAAATAAATTCTCTAATGTACGTTAGAATATTATTTTTCTACAGAGAAAAATCTAAAAAGTGGTTGTCAACAGACCATTGTCGATATTGGCTGCTTAATCATGTTAAGTAGATTCACAAAATAACTTATTCAAGCTGCATACTCACTACTTGTTGCTTTTCCAGTTGCGCAGCAGTATAATTGAAAAACAATAGAGTTCCAATAGTAAAATATACCATAAAACTTTTCATTTTTTCTAGCACATTTCGTAACTAAACTATTTTAAAATTCTTTAAAACTAAATCCAACTCTAGTCAGGAGTCACCGCAATATTAATAATTACTCAAGTATTAATCGGTAAACAGTATAGATGGGAATTCCTAGTATGTAAGCGGAAATCCACTTAGGTTTAGCAATACGCGAGAACTCATTGTATTGTCTTATTAAAATTTTGCTACTGATTACTGATTATTTAGTTGGATTTGGTTACCAATGAAAATGCAAGTTAATAACATACCGAGGATACATTAATAATATATTCACAAAGAATTAGGATGTTTATTATGTCAACGAATACTTATTTAACGGCGCAGGGATAGTATTATATTGTTTTTATATTTTATAATTTATTGTTCTTATTTATTAAAGGTTCTATATTTATAACACTCAAAAATTTACCAAAGTCTTTATTACTACTAATTTATTTTACACTTAATAAGTATATAATTTATCTACGTGCGATACAATTATAAAATACCCGTTCGCGAATTTATCTTCTGAATAACTGCTCAATAAAAATCCTGTTATTTATATATCAAATGCCGTTATCTAGAAGGGTCTGGCAATGCATCGATGACCTTCCATCCATTAGGTGACTCATTCAGATAGAATAGAAATGTCGATCGCCTACTGGTAAATTAGGACGGTCGCGCCGGCTGCATTCTTGGTACCTGATATTCGACCCTTCTGGAGAATTCGGTAGTATTTGACCTAAAACATTCGTGAATGAGTAAATATGTTTACGGTTTTTATACGCCATAATATTTATTATCGTAACAGTATCATGATTTTTTTTCTAGTTTTTACTCATGATTTATAACGAAATTATTATCAAAGAACTTTTTATTACAATTATTAACTATTATTATGAAATCTAAGTGGGAAATATTGTGGTAGTAGTGCTTTTAGAGAGTATCCAGCTGTTACTAATACTTGCATCAATGAGCCATGAAGATACATCACCACTACTTTTTTCAACGGATTCTAATTCTAGTTAGATATTTTTATTTTAAAATATGTAAAAATGAAGATCGCATAGTTTTGTTTTAAAATGATATTGAAAACTTTTTTTATAGAGCCATCTAAAAAATCGCTGTTGCAAAAAGACAAAAGTATCAACGTTGGAATGGCACAATTTAACATTGGAGACCCTACAAAGGTACACGATCAAGATAAAGACCACAAATCAGATGGATAGATTTCAATAAAACATAGACGGAACAAATTGAAAGAATGTTGCTAAGGGTAGAAATCGATGGAACGAGTTGGGAGAGATGTTCAAAAGTGAACGATAAAAGTTAAGTGGAAGAAGAAGACCTGCATTGATAAAATTATGAATGAAGATCCCAAAACAAAGAACATCAACATCCACACAGATAGCCAAGCCGCAAGCTATACTGGCTCCAAAGAACTACAGTCAAAATTAAAACTGGTGAGGAATTGCAAATATCTTCTCACGAGCCTGGCAAAAGGCCATACGATGTCATCACTTCAAGAAACGAGGTTCAGAAGTGGCTGATAATGAATCATCAAAAAAAAATGATTCAAGAACAAATTTAGAATAAGAAAATAATCAATATTATTAATAAAAACTGTTGGACAATTTAATGACCGAATAAAACGGTGACCGAAATGGTGACTTGACATTGCCGTTTAAGAAAGGTGAATGAACCATGGTGTAGAAAATGCGAAATGGATAAAAAGACTGACATACACATCCTGTGCCATTCTAATGTGATAAGTGTTGTAATAAAAAAAACATGGTATGGTACAAACGTCTTATGAAGCGACTTATGAATAAGTGCCAGCAATTAACATAGCTTGCCTGAACTAAGAACAAGAAAAGGAAGAGAAAATTTGAATTTTTTCATCAGACTTGGAATTTTATGTTGAATGCGTCATTTTTGTATGCGTCATGTTTGTCAAATTGTTTATTAGAATTCTTATGCGCTGGGAGTTTTTTTTATGGATTTTAAGTTTACATATATACAACTATTTTGTGTTTGTATCGCGATGTCATATTAACAAAAAAGCAGAATAATTTTAATACTTACACATCGCAACTATCAGATTTTTTGTCATAAATTTTGTCGTATTTGTAATGCGATGAACTAGACCAAGCTTGTAAGTAAGAATCTATGAAGAATGTGTCTTTCTACGATAAACTCCATTTAGGCAAAAATGGTTTTTACAGAGTTTTCCAATTTTTACCTACTAATTTTGGGTAAAATAAAAGAGCAAGTAATTCGGATAAAACAAAGACTCGATGGAAATCGATACGCTCCATTATTTCCAAATATTTAGGTTACTATACTCCGTTCATTTTCACGATAAGCTCGAGGTAAACAGTTTCAGACACATGATCGGTGGGTGTGTCGTTTCGTCACATGTTGTCATCGGTGAGTACTTAATTTATAACCATTAATAAGTTACGTGGTATGAAACGTCCATAAACTACGTCCTAAAAAATGTTGACTTTTTAATACCCCTCACCCTTTCGTCGTAAAGCGTCATTTATAGTCAAGGTCCTCCCTCATGTTGACTATTATTAGACACTCTTATTGACGCAATTATAACTCATAACCCCCTTTTTCAGTAATTTTTCTAAATATTGAATTGAAAGACACCAAATGACGTCGGACATGCACTTTTATCCCCCCTACCTCCTGTGGTATACCATCGTAATAAGCTAAGTCCCCCTCCCTCTTCCATACGAAATAGTTTATGGATGTTACCTAAGTTGTATAAGCAAAAATAGATAAAAATTAGATTATATTTTTGAGAAACTAGTTGTAGATAATTTGGGTAAGATGATAGAAAATAAATTTCAATAGGTACTGTTAAAGTATGAATATTGATAAGAATAACATCACAACATAGATACAAATTTGTTCCTTATGCTGTGATAATATTACCAACATTAATTATAAAACAATATCAAATAAATAATAGACTGGTATTGCAGAGAACCAGAGAACATCAAGTAAATTTAAATAATTCATGAAAAATAAAATGGTAATATAACTGAATTAAAATGAGAATTAAACTTTTAAAAACCTTTTCAATTAAGTCTTCATTTTTCTCGACTTCCTATTGTTGTCTTCCGTTTCTGGTAGGCAGGAAAACAGTCAAAGCCATAGTAGGGTCTGTTAACAGGCAGAACTGTTAAAACTAGTGGAAAAGGATAACTTTGAAATATTGGCAGATTTGTTCAACATGGTGTAAGATACGAGATAACAATGCAAGAGTGGCTGAAGCTAACGTTTATAACTATCCCTAAAAAGCAGCCAGTGAAAGAATGCTCTGACTATCGAGCAATGAGTAAGTCATACTTAAAAATGCATAACAGAATCTATGAAAAGTTAGAAGAGGAGATTATTGAGAAGCAGTTCGGGTTCCGAAATGAAATGAATACTCGAGAAGGACTATTTGTCAAAAACATATTTATTCAGCGATGTCATGATGTAAACGTTGACCTACACTTGTGCTTTGTTAACTACGAGAAAGCTTTCGATATAATGAAACATCTATCTATCTATATAAGGATTTTTACAGCTGTCGCCGCCTTCCTTCTTTCAGCCAACGCCTCCAGTCCATTCTGTTCTACCATTCTCCATCTCTAAGGTCTCGTCTTTCCATGGCCTCGTCCACTTCATCCCTCCATGATCTTCGGGGTCTACCTCTTTTCCTCCTTCCTATTGGGCTCCAATCCGAAATTTTTGCTACCCACCTTGTATGATCTGTTCTTTTCACATGTCCATACCAAATTAAACGTTTTTCTTCGATGTAGCTGAGTATGTCTTGTTCTACTGCCATTCTTCGTTTTATCTCCTCATTTTTGATGCGATCTATTTTTGTCACTCTGCAGCTTCTTCTCATGAACTCCATTTTAGTTGCTGTGATTTTGGACCTGTTTCGTTTATTTATTACCCAATTCTCTGCTGCAATGCTATAGGTCATTATACTGCGTACCAAGGTGTTATAAATTCTCTACTTTGTATTTCTGGTAATCTGTCTATCCCACAATACCCCGTTCATTTGTTTAATACATGTTCTTGTCTGTGCTAATCTGCTGGTTGTCTCTTGCTCGGTGGTTCCATTTTTTGAGAGTATAAATCCTAAATATTTGAATGTTTCAGTGCCGTTAATTCCCTATCATCGTACATTTCCAAGTTTCTCAGTGGTTCTTGCTCTGTTGTTAAATATTTGGTCTCTTCTAGGTTTATTTCCAGTCCATTTTTTGCGTATTCCTTTTCTTATTTAGCATATACCACAGATCTTCTTGATCTTGGGCCGTTACCACTTCTGCAGGTCATCTGCAAAGCTTAATGTATACAAGAAGTTGTCCCGGATTGGTATTCCCATCCCTTCACATTTCCTTTTCCATGGTTTTAATATTTGTTCGAGGAATATTTTGAACAGTTAGGAGATGTAGAGCATCCCTGCAATAAGCCTTTTGTGGTCTTAAATTCGTTGGAGTATTTATTGCCGGTTTTAACTTTTACCTTGTTGTTGCTGTAAAGGTTTTTTAGGCTTCTATTAACTTCTGAGTTATTCCGATTTCATTCATCGTGTTCCATAGTTGTTTTCTGGGAACCGTGTCATACGCGTTTTTTAAATCTATGAATGCCATGTGTACTGGTCTATTTTTTGCCATTTTTTTTCAATTAATTGTTGAAGTGTATATATATGGTTTATACAAGATCTTCCTGCCGTGAATTCCGCCTGATCTTCTCCGATTTTATTTGAGATAGATTTTTCCAGTTTTTCTTTCAGTATTTTTCCATATAACCTGCCCATACATGCTATTACACTGATGCCTCTGTATTTCTCGCATTTCTTCTTATCTCCCTTTTTATGTATCGAGGTTATATATGCTTTGGACCATTCATCTGGTATTTCGTTCAGGTTTATAGCGTTACTGAACATTTCGTTTATAATTCTGTGTAGTTTGTCCGTTCCATACTTAATTAGTTCTTTAATGATTCCTTCTGGTTTCCCTGATTTTTTGTTCTTTAAAGTCTTTATAGCATTCTCTACTTCGATTAATGTTATCTCAATCTGTTCTTAATTCTGACTTTGTTGTTGTTCATGTTCTGTGTCTGTCTCTATGAAATCTGGGCGGTTTTCTGTAAGTAGTTCTTTATAGTAGTCTTTTCACTCTTTTTCTGATATGTATTGTATTTGGACCTTTTCGTTGTTATTTTTCCTTAAAGATTTATGTATTTTCCAGGATTCCGAACTTCTCTGTTTTTCTCTTTGTATTTCTGTATGCATTCTGGGGATTGGGTGCTCATACTTTTCATATATAGAATTTTCTTCTCCTCAATACATTTTTTGGTGTCTTTGTTTATTTTTACTTTGTGTTGGGTATCTCTTTTCTCAAGCTTCCCCAAAGCTTCTAATGCCGCCTTTTTTATGCTGTGTTTGACGTGCTCGTACGTTTCTTTGACGTTTCTGAAACCGAAATCCTGTAACTTCTGGTCCAGTCTTCTTTGGTATAGGTCCCTTATGGATTCCTCTTGAAGTAAATTTATTTTGAACTTCATTTCTGCTTCTTTTTATTCTTATCTACTTGGTCTTCTTCGTGTTCTTTCTTCCTTCTAGTTTGGGTGTTCAACGTGTAGGGAAACCCCATTTGCGAAATTATTAATCGGTGGTCAGTGCCACATTCGGATCGTCTCTTTATTCGGGTATCTCTAATTTTGATAGTACTACTTTTGCTGATAATTATGTAATCGATAATGGATCTGATGTTTCTCGTTGTTTGTACATACGTGTATTTATGTATATCTTTATGTCTGAAAAAACCGTTAGTAATTTTCAGATTGTTCAGTTTGCACAGGTCAATTAGTATTTCTCCATTATCGTTTCTCACATCTTCTCCAAAACGGCCTATCGTGCTATCATTTTGTCGTTTCCCTGTTCTTCCATTTAGGTCCCCTGCTATTATTATTTCTTGTGTTGGTCTCACTTTTCCGATCTCTTCTTGTAAGGTATCCTCTTCTGCTACCAGACTGTTATCCGTAGGGCCGTATACTCCCAGTATCACGATTTGCCTGCCATAGATTTCCATGATGAGTTTTACTACTCGTTTATTTATGGTTTCCATGTTTTTATTGTTTTTACCCATTTTTTCTTGACTAGTATCCCCACTCCGACAGCTGCTCTTTCTTCCTTGTTTTTTCCGCTCCAACAGTAGAAGATATCATCTACAAATTGTGTACCATTTCCATTTTTCTTGGTCTCAGTTGATACCAAAATATCAAGGTTCATCCTCTTAAATTTCTCTATCACCTCTTTGTCCTTAGTTCGCCATCCTTGGATGTTCCAGGTGCTACACGTGAAAAGTGAAACATGAAAAGCTAATATTAAACTTATGAATAAGCACGTTGACAGTAAAATTATAAAGATAATCCAAACATTATATTGAAACCAAACAGTCAGAAGAAATGTAGATCTTTAGAGGAGTTAGACAAGGATGCATTTTATGTGGCATTTTAAAGTAATTACTATTTAAATGGGAATAAGCCACAATTAAAGGTTAACATACGTTCTCAAAATACAAACATTAGTAAATTAAACAAATTTTGTTTTGTTTTTTTTTTGAAAAAATGTTTATATTTTGAGAACGGTTTCCGAAGTGGAAATTGAAACGTCAATAAACGTATTTTAACCTTTAATTGTGGCTTATTTCCATTTAAATAGTAATTACTTCAAAGTGGGGGTTACCGTTAACGGAAAATTAATTAACAACTTACGATATGCCGAAGATGACACCGCGATCATTGCAACAAACATAGAAGACCTACAATAAAATAAATGCTAAAAAACGAAATATATGCTAATTACAAAAAGACTACAAAATATACTCCACATATTGACAATAAATGGTTACGCGTTAGAACAAGGAGAAAAATATTAATACTTGGGAACTTTGATCAATAAAACCCATGATCATACTGCAGAAATATATAGGCGAATAGAGATTGCCAGATCAGCATTAATACGAATGAAGCCACTCTTAACGTGCAAAAATCTAAATTTGGAAATCAGATTCATTGGATGGTATATATTTTCAATATTATTGTATGGACCTGAGACATTAAAAAAATTCAATTGAAAAAGAATCGAGGCTTTCGAACTTTGGTTATACTGCAGAGTAATAAAAATATCATGGACTGATAGAATTACAAATAAAGAAGTACTGAGAAGAGAGTTGGGAAAGAGACAGAACTAATCACCACAAGACAAATAAGAAAACTTGAATACCTATGCTCCGTGATGGGAGGATCAAAATATGAAATTTTGAGATTGATAACACATGGAAAGATTCAAGGAAGAAGATCTGTTGGCCGATAACAGAATTCTTAGTTGAAGAATCTACGTGATTATTATCAATACAGATCGATTGATTTGTTTGGAACAACAAGTTCAAAAATAAAAAAGCCATTATAATTGCCAACCTCTGTAGGGTGACGGCTTTCTAAGAAGAGAAGAGAATGTAATCTAGGTTTAGACGACCACAATAGATCTGGAAAGGTCGCAGTGGAATAGGCCAAATGGTACCTCATTGCATCTATCTATCCGTTTCTGGTGCACTTTGGGAACTTCATTACTGTTATTTACACGATACACTGACACTAATTGGAATGCTTGTAATCTAGATATATGTGAACTAGAAGATATGAGAATAAAAAATAACGACCACACTCGCAAGGGCAAAAATACTTCACTTGCTTCTTGCTTTTTTGTGAAAATAAATTATGTGGTCAATGCCGGTGGTGCAGTATATTTAACTGAGTTTCTTCTTAAAGGTACTTTGTTCCAAAGGCACAGGTAACTTTCTTCTAGACATGTACCGTACAGACAGTTGCAATCCTTCTTTGTAAACCTTCTATCTTGATGTAGTCAATGCTTTGCAGAAATTAGTTCATCCCCTGTACAAGATGTTGCAGTACCGTTTTCCTGAGGAGGGACAATATGAGTGTAAAGCAGGAGATTCTGCTCTATACTCATATTGACCCTTATGTATCGACCAGAGTTTTATTCAGATACCATCCGTCATGTGTTTATCGATTCTGTTCTTTAGTACAATTGACATTAAACTTATCTGTTAAGTATTGTCAGGTTTAACAGTAAAAGCTACCCTTATAAGATTCATGGTTTAATGGTATGTGGCAAAATCCAAGTTAGCCTATAGTATTATAAATAATTTTTTTATATAGAGAGTTATTTTCCTTTTAGTACAGTATTGGATGAATATGGCCTGGATCCGGGTGTACCAAAGTCCTAAATGAGGCTGTAGTATCATACATCATTTTTTACTTTCATTTTCATCTGAGAGTCATTTTCTTTTTATTGAAGTATTGGATGAATACGGCCTGGATCCGGTGATTTATATGGCTCAAATGAGTTTTGTCCATTTTACTTTATCCTAATCTACCATTTATTTTGCCATATGCTACTTTTCTTTAGAACCCATAAGTTATGGTTTGCAATCAATCCAGTGTACTGCTGTGTATCTAGTGGTATTATTATAGTTTAAAACTCAGAAAAATTCACTATTCCGATGTATTAACCTTACTTTTTTAGAGCAAAGGTATACTAATCTGAGGATCCATAGAAAAATGTTATGAACCCTTGATATTTCTTTAGGCTGATATATTCCTTAGTAATTTCTCCTTCACCATTATCTTTATGTCCTTCACAATTCCATATTATATTCAGTCAAGCTTTGCTATAATCACGCTACTCACTGGATCTTTTGATGAAATTAAATTTTCGTCTGAATTATGTCCTTTGACTTGCAAGATTTTTGTTTCACCAGGGCACTTTTCTATTGGAATTTCTAAAATATCTTTTAATTTAATTAGTAGTTACGAAAGATTGTTCAATTCCTACATTTACTTTGTCTAAATCGTATTACCTATCAAACTGTAGTAATGACTAACCTCTTTCATTTGTATTGGTGCTGCCCTGGGTCCGGTGGTATGCATTCGCATTACAGCCGATGATGAGTACACTTATTTATCACTCATTATATCTTTAGTTTTTGTTCCATTTTTTTTGGTAATATTTCAATCAATAATGGAAGATACACTAATCCGAGAATTATCTCTTGCATACTCCCTCCCTTCGTCTTCACCACTGTAACATCTTCACAACAGTAAGTTCTGTTAAAGTTTCCTTACTGTGTTGAAGATTTTTCTGCCGGATTCCAATTTGAATTTCTGATTGACTTAAAGAATACCTTTTCAAGTTTGTAGTACGCTTTCAAATGCGCAGTGGTCAATGAATTGTAAGAGGCCTAGTCGATCAAAAAGACTAGTACTTATTCAGTCTCCCTGATCTTCTGACTTTTTAATAACAATTTTCTGTACAAAGACTTATGTTTTATTTTCCCATGTACGTTATTTTTCTATGTAGGTTATTAGTTTCCTAGTTTTTCTTTTGGGGATGCAAGTGAAGACTATGGGAGCCTAAATATATTATCTAAGTCGACTACAGTCAAGTTTGCTTTCTCCCACAGGCTCTCCATAGCTCTTACCACATTTAAGGTTTCTTAGTATACTCGTTAGCACAGGTTACCTATATGTTCCCTGCATTAAAAGCTGTTTTATTTACCTGTATTGGATTATGAATTTCTTTATGAACTTCATCTACTGATTGTAAAAGTCTGTTGACGACCAGGTTTGATTAAACCTGATCTAGTGTAATATTAGGATGTTGTCTATGTACTACCGCCATCCTGTACACATTTGTGACATGTCTATATGATGTAGTCTGCAGTAAACTGAAATTGTGGTTAAAGGATTTATATGGATCAGTAAATTACTATTTACATAAATTTTTATTATAATTTTACAAAACATACATTTATACGCATAATATTGACAACAATGCTATAAACAACGTTCCGATATAGATTTTATTTGATTCACCACCTTTGTTGGGTAAATTGGCACCTAAAAATAAAAATAGGTCAAAACTTTTATATTTGATAAATTCTGTTCGACATAATATGACTGGATTGGGTAGTTCAGAAAATTTTAGCCTTTTTCGATTTATATAGATATATATATATATATATATATATATATATTTAATCTAAATATGCTACAAATCATTCTTTCAGAACAAAATCCAGATTTGTTCTGATTATAAGAGACCACTTTTAAACAAAATCAAAATACAAACTTAAGAAATGATCTGTGTTATAACCAAATAAGATCCAATGAAAACATTGCAGTGTATCAATTTTAGTTAATAATTCATATGACTCGAAAAAATACCTCCAAATACTAACTTAAAAGCCATTGCTGTCACCGTCATCGAAACAACTAATATAAACGTTTGCAATATATATTTACCTCCAGAATATCTAGAAACGAACTAGAGGAGATCTTCAATCAAATGCCTACTACTCGATAACTCGAATCAGTTTGGGAGACCTAAACGCATATAATTAGATCTAAAGGGATCAGTATATAAAGACCAATGGGGTACTGTAATTAAAGAAATTATAGATCAACTCAACTGATCTCTCTTAAATGACAGAAGTCCGACCAGACTTAATATAAGAACTGGAGAAGCTACTCTACTTTATCTAACAATATGTGACAACGATCTTTACCCACATTTGTTGTAGCATGTATAAACTTCTTATAATTATGGAATATTTAATAAATAAGATTAATTTGATTCGGACCTGGCTATATATAAAATTCATTGAGTTTTTGTTTATACATTGACGTAAGTGTCTGCGACACATCGAAGAGATATTTTACTCTTTAGTTAAATAATTGATATTTACGTTTTAACTGCTGCAATTTTCAAAGCCAAGCAATGTTAAAGTTCATATTCGCCTGAAAAGGGTCGTTGAAAAAAATTACGATTGGCCGGCTGCAAAACCTGCCAGAGGGGTGAGAAGACCAGAGAGCCGGTACAGGAAGTCAAGCCAGGTCAAGTAAAGTTGGGATTGAAATTTTTTATTGTGGAGAGATGAATATGTGCAATGCAAATGTGGCAGTTTTGTTGATTTGATCACCGATGTGTTGTATTTTGTCCTAAGTGGGAGATTTGTAAAGCAGCGTTACAACGAGAGGCCGAGTTTTGAAGATTGCAATTTGTTAATCCGAGGTCCAAATCCAGTGCCCAACTTCCAAAGAATCGTCTATTTGGCTCCCTGGTCATTCCAGACCATTTTGCAGCTTGAGTTATACACAGTTGTGTGTGTTTGCAGTATTTCGATTTAATTCCGATCCCAAAAACTTTCTTCAAAGAAATACATCAGCCAGTGATACCAGGTACTTTTTTGTTAAAATTTTTCAAAGTAAAAATAGACATTTTTTATTAATAATTGCTTCATGACAAATTGAAAAATTGTAATAAATAAAATTATAAGTTTTATGGATTGTCTAATTTACATATTATTCTTCTTTTAAATGCAAGTAATTTTAGAATTTAATTAATGTTTCAAAAAGTTTTATTATTTAATTTCGACATATGACAATTAGTATTATCTCTTTCGGGCACTTGGTACATATCCATAAATTTTGAATTGTTTTGTTTCAAGAGGTTAACCTCAATGTAAATTCCTTTAAATTCTTATAGTCTCCCCAATGTCTACAGTTTGTTGTAATCCGATAGCACCATTGTAAGTTGTTTTAAAATTCTGTAAATTTTATTTGTATTAACTGTTTATGGTGAAGTAATAATAAATATGTGATGTTTCTCTCTAAACCAAGTGTAGTATTATTTCCTTTAAAAATATTCTCATCCTTATATATATTTTAGGAAAGAAAAGCCCATCTTTCCATGTAGCAGGAAAATTCTTGTAAACGGCGTCCTTTTTAAATAGTTTAGGACCTTCTTGTGTTGTATTGCCCAGAAAATCCATATAAGTATTTTTTGATTCATTTCTTTGTAGCCCTTTGCAGCCCCCTTTTATTCACTTACTTACGACCCAGCTCTCCATCCAAACCAAGAGTAGCCGTTCGCAAACGTTTTGGTTTGTTTGCTTACCCTATCTCAACAATAATTAACATAACCACACTACCCCTTTTTCTCTGAAATGAAAAATTGGAAAAAAAATCCAATTGGAAGCATCGGATATAAACAAGTACTCGGCAACAATAAATAATTTCAAAAAATCTTTAGATAACTTGACCAAAATAATTATTAAAGCAGCTGACTACTCGATCGGTAAACCAGTTCCAACGAAACGTTCTTCTACTTCTTTTGGTACCTATTTGTTTCGAATATTGGCGATCATTCTGGTTATAATTATTTTATTAACTGGTGCCTTAAATAGATTAGTTTTTGTTGTAGAGAACCATTTCCTCATGTTTTTTAACCATGATATTCTTCTTATATCACTTTATATAGTGCCGTTTCCCATTATGTGTCCTAGATATTCTAACTTTCTCCTTTTAACGAAACATATCACACTAGTTCCATGGTGGCACGAATCTTGTAAAAAGGTTATTAGAGAAAGTAAAACTGCCTTTAATAAATACAAACGGAATCAATCACTAGAAAACTAAGTAGAATATAAGAGAAACCGAGCCTTAACTAGATTGGCAATAAAGACAGTTAAACGTCAATCCTGGATTGATTATGTTTCTAAAATAAACAGCTCTACATATGAGTGACATATAGATGATAAAACGAATATCGGGAAAAATAAATGAAGTTAAAAATCAAATCACTAAATATTCAAGACAAGGTTATTACCACCGAAAAAAAAAAAATCACAGAAGAAATGGCTACACCTATAAACATCTAGTGATACCCAGTATAATCAGAGCTTTATCAAAATTAAGCAACATGAAGAACATAATCTAATATACTTCGACGAAGTAGACAAAAGTCCTACAACTTTCCCTTTTTTGATTGAAGAATACAACGAAGCCCTTAACTCGTTTAAAAATTCGTCAGCGGGACCTGATGATATTTCGGTAAACTTTATAAAACATTTACCTTCAAACGCTCATCAGTACTTACTAAAGTTATTTATTTAATATGGACGCAACATAAAAATCCATCATAATGGTCGGAATAATTTATTATTATACCAATTTTAAAACCAAACAATCCTAAAAGTAATCGAAATAATATATAACCAATATCTTTGGCATGTGCTATGGATAAATTACTAAAAAAAATTGTAAATAAAAGGCTTTTATGGACTCTTGAGAATTGAAACTTAATCATTCCAAATCAAAGTAGTTGCCGTAGAAATCGGTCGATAATGAACAATATTTTAACATTAGAAAATTACGTACTTGAAGCTTTTGCTGATATTCAAAAATGCAATATTTTTTGACATCAAGGGGGCATATGATACCACTTGAAAACACCTAATAGTTAAGAAACTACATAAGTTAAATATCCGGGGACCCTGCCTAGCGTTCATTAATAATTTCTTAGCCAATCGATTATTACAACTTAAAACTAATGGTATGTTATCACCAAAAACAAAACTAGAAAATGGTATTCCGCAAGGATAAGTTTTAAGCCCTACACTTTTTTAGTAGCAATAAATGATGTCTTAGCTAGTATGAAGTAACCTTCAAGAGAAGTCAAAATATGGAAAACATCACGAATATGTTAAAAGCTTTTTTACATCAACTATAGAAATTGTCGCAAAGTTGTGGTTTTCAATTTTCTACAGAAAAAACACAATCTATATTATTTTTAAAGAAAATCTACCCTAATCACCATATATTCTCACTATATAACAATCCTTTAGTTCGAAAATAGAATGTTATATTTTTGGGAATGGCATTCGACCATCACTAAATTGGAAAGAAGATATTAAATCAGCGTTGTACGAACGACACCAATAGAAAATCTGCATTGCGAAGCAGCTGAACCATCGCTCTATTACAGAAGAGTGTACTTAAAGTTAACCTACGCAATTAAATCAAATAAAACAACCACAATGAACCAAATAAACAACGTCTACACAAACCTTTCTACCACCGAATCAAAAAAATCTCTCAACTCTTAAAATCATCTTGCTTTCTCGTTAATTTTGAACCTGCTGCATCATTGACGTTGTGAGTACCTAAAGTAGGTAATAACTACCTTAGCTTAATTGGACAAATCAGTTATATCTTCTAATAGGTGTCAAAAATATAAGTTGCCAATTATTCTTAATGCAAAATTATGACATATATAAGGCACTCGCATAATATATTATATCTTCACCACAACAAAAATACATCATTTTGACTGATTAACCATTAACTCATTACAATCCATAGGAAAAATATACCTAGAGAATCATATTTTAGGAACAATAAAACAAAATCTGATATATATATATATATATATATATATATATATATATATATATACAATGCTAGTCAAAAGTCCGTTCCCCCCCTCGTATCTTTTGAACGGTTATTGTTATAATAATGAAATTTGGAGGGAGATAATAAACAGACGTAGGCTTCTTAACTAGTCATAACAGGTGACATAATAGTGACAGATGACGTTACAGCGCCACTGTGACAGATAATTTTAAATGGAACCTTATGGCAAGTGATATCTCGTTTGAAAGGTATTGAAAATACCTATTCAGTCATAATAATTTTGTTTGAGTTTAAGCTCATTTTGATGAATAAATTAAATAAATACTAAAATTGCCCTATATTCTTCAACAATTCGTTGTTTTAAAATATCAATATTGTCGGTTGCTGTAGCGTAAACTTTGGATTTCAAGAATCCCCACAGAAAAAAATCTAATGGTGTGATGTCCGGTGACCAAGCTGGCCATTCTATCGTACCTCGTCGTCCAATCCATTTACCACGATATTCCTCATCGAGGTAACGTCTTACTTATTTTAAAGTTGCTGAATTCATCTGGATTATCCTCCAGAATTTCAAATATTAATGGTTCAATTGCATTTTGTAACATCTCCAAATACACTTCATCGGTTAAGTTAGTATTGAGAAA